TCTATTGCCATAGATTTAGTGATCAGAAAAGAGATAAAATAGAGAAATAAATAAAAAAGAAGGCACGCAAGGGATAAGAAATAAGAAAATCAATGACAGTGCCACTGTAAGGAGGAGATAAAAAGAGGGGGCATGAATAGACTGCCAATGAAGAGCAGCTGTGAGATACAGGAAAATGCTCCTTCAGGGCACAAGTAGTCCTTTCTTTCTCAGATAATTTATATTAAAAACAGCAAAAAATAAAAAAATAATAAAAAAGAGAAGTTTCAATCTAATAGAAACTTAGAACAAGAACACATAGTCTTCTCTTTCACAATCCTTAAAAGATATTTTAGCACATCTAAAAATAAATTAACCCATTTAATGGAAAGAAGATTCCAGAAATTTCTTACAAAATAACACTAGATGCTCTCTCCCCATGCTGCATGGGAAAGAGAACAAATTACCCCATGACCCTACCTTCTATTTGGCTCCATTCTGAAAGACTGGATTCTTTGTGATCAATAAACACACCTAGATCCTCAACTTTTCTTAACATTCCCTGCAACTCTCAGTGGTTTCCAACTATAGCTGCATTAGAATTACCAGAGGCACGTTTAGAAAATACTGACTGTTAGGCCCTACCTCAGGCCAATAAAACAGAATCCATGGGGGTGAAGCCCAAGCACTGGTAGTTTTTAAATTACTCCCTGAGTGATTCTATGTGCATCCAGATTAAAAATCAGAGTCACCTGAAAACTGGCTGGTCCCCCTGTACTCCTCTGAAATGGAGGCTGTTTGTAGCCTCCCATACCATATGTAATTTAAGATTCGTGTCCTTATTTGTCCTAACACTATTTCCAAGCCATTCCCTCTTCTCCCTAAATCCTGTCTCCTTTGAGACTCACCCATTGTGTATACCAGCTTCTTACCCGCCTTCCTCCATGAGATCATTTACTATCTTCCCAGAAACTTCTGAATCCAGGGTTCAATATATGACTCATAAGACTTCCTCTCCACTCAAACTCCTGCCTTAAATTTTGGTCCCTTCAAAACTAGCACAGAAAACCGAGTCAATACCTTCAACTTCGTTATCCAATGACCTTGCCCCTCCACCTCAGTCATTTACTCCCCTAGTCCTTACTGGGACTCCCTCAGTTATACGCTGGACCTTTTCATCATAGGAACACCACCACTTCATAAATCTCTAATTCAAATATCCCACTCTGACCTGTTATTCCTTCTACCTTACTTGCTCACATGACAACCTCTCCAGCCCATTGATCCCTCCTCTTTCTCAGCATCCACTCACTCACTCCCTTCTGCTTTCACTTCCCTTTATACCAAACAGATGCCAATATTATGCTCTGTTCCAAAAGCTCAGAACTTCCTTTCCATTCTGTTCTTCCACAGCACTTAGCTGGCAAACATCCAATCCTCAGAAATCCAACTAATTGCTTTCTCTTTACTTACACCTGAGCAACTAGAGAGTGTAACACACACACATTATAAATTGATTGCTAACCTCAACTGGGCACTCTATGATAGGGAGCAATCTAAGTTTTCATAGTCAACTAGTGTCCTACTACTATTAGAACAACTATTTCACATCTTTTCATTTATCCTCAATCTTTGCATCCCCCTCTTCTCAAGCACTCTTATTCCAAGCTGAATGCTTTACTTCACACTTCAGAGAAAATGAAAGCCATCACATGGAAACTTACTTGTATCTGTACTCATTTTTTCCTTTCCCTCCAGATATAAAGAAAAGGCCACATTTTCTTTTAATTACAACCCCTATCAAAGGTCATCTTTTCTTTGAATTACAACCCCTCTGATTCTCACAGGAATCTTACACTCATTCCTAGACACCTCCCCCGAATATTTTTAACCTGTCCCTTTCATAGGCTACTTCCCATCATCATTAAATTAAACCACATTTTAAATCCCTCGTTTTCAAAGCAAAAAAAAAACCTTCCTGGATCCCCTATTTGCTCCAACTCTAGTCCATATCTATATTCCCCTCCACGGTCAAGCTCCTTCAAAAAATCAAAGTCACAACTTGCTCATCTCCCATTTCTCTCTTAAATTCACTCCAATATGACTTTGGCTCCAACCACCTCTATGAAGTTGACTTGTTAAAGTCACCAATAACCTCCATATTACTAAATCCAATGGGTACACTTCAGTTATCTCATTTGACCTATTAGCAGATATCAACAGTTGACCATTCCTTGAAATGATCTCTTCCAAAGGCATGACACCATATTTATCTAGTTTCTCTTCCTCCTTCTAACTTCCCTCCCTCCCTCTCGTCACTAATTTTCAGAGCCTTTTGAGGCATCTCCTTTTCTGTCTAACCTTTAAAAAGTAGAGTTCCTTAGAGTTCAATCCTAAACCTTTTTCTCACTCTATAACAGCACTGTCATTGGACTTACTGTGATGATGGGCATGTTCTACAACTGCACTGTTCAATATGGTAACCAATGATCACATGTGGCTAGTGAGCACTTGAAATGTGACTAGTGCAACCAAGGTACTGAATTTCTAATTTTATTTTTAATTAATTTAAATAGCACATGTATCTAGTGGTTACTATACAGTATCTGATAACACAGCTCTATATGCAATCACATTATCTCTCTGGTTTCAAATACTATCTATGTACTAGAAACCCAGGCCTGAGCTTTGGAGACATATATGTATATTTATACTAACAAACCCAGGGTCCACCTCCTGCAACATGCTGTGTGCCTTAAAGTTTATGAATGAAGTCCAAGGATCAAGATAAAATTTGGTTTCAGTGCATATTACTAAATGGGCAAGAATAACAAGAATTTTATTCAAATGGTTACCTGAACTCTGGAGAGAGTAACACGTGGCTAATTTCTATGTAGGAAAGGCCAATAAAACTAATGCCACAAACTAGGTGTTTATAAGAGAAAAGACACACTTCAGTTTAATTTTTTAGCTTTGGATGAAATACCTATTTCCACACTAAGAACAGAATATTTCAGTCTCTTCTTTCAGCAGCAATGTCAGCCACTGCTGAACTACCTTTACTCAAACTTTTTTAGAGTTCTTTTTGCCTTCTTTCTAAGCACAAGAAAACATAGATTGTAAGTTATTCGCTCTCTTGGATACCTGCAGTAGAAGTCAGGAGCTGAGTTTATTTAACCTTTAGAAATTAGCCTTTAAGACTTCCAAAGAAAATAATAATAAAACCTAAACCAGAAAAGCTCACCCAAACTGTTAAATGCAAATTAATGGTGCCAAGGACAGGGACTATGTGTCTAAACAAAAGTGACAAAAGTGTATACAATCCACAACTCCAAGATAAGAGTTCAGTCCCACTCATCCAAGGACTCAACCAAGAGATAAGGCAACCGGTTTGATTCAGATTCCTGTGGTCACATACTCTTTTCAACAACAATCAAACAGTGCCCATTTTCTCCTCCCCATAAAACAGTACAATTAGATAAGCAAAGAACAGCTTGCACAGAAAGTCAATGATTTGCTTCAAACAGATACAAATGAAAGAATTAAAACAGTGAGAAGATGATGTTCTCTCTAATAAAGGGATGCCTTGAGGGAATGGGGCTAAAATAAAAGGAAATATTTTAAGAAAATAAAGGTATGCCTGGTAAGAGGGACTCTATAGCCTCCCAAAAGAATATAACAAGTAAAGGTGAACATTATGATTTAACGTATAAAAATAATAAATGGATAAAAATGTTTAAAGCATAACAGCAGTTAAAAAACAACCAATGCCCTGGCCAGTTTGGAGCACTGTCCTATACACCAAAAGGTGGTGGGTTTGCCTGACTGGTATGGCTCAGTGGTTGAGTGTCAGCCCATGAACCAGGTCACCATTTGATTCCTGGTCAGGGCACATGCCCGGGGTTGCCTGCTCGATCCCCAGTAGGGGGTGTGAAGGAGGCAGACGATTCACGTTTCTCTCTTCCATGTTTCTATCTCTGATTCTCTCTCATCACTGATGTTTCTCTCTCTCTCCCTTTCGAAAATCAATAAAAATATATTTTTAAAAAAGGTGGTGGGTTCAGTTCCCAGCCACAGCACATACTTAGGTTGTGGGTTCAATCTCCAGTAGGGGCATGTATGAGAGGCAACCGATCGATATTTTTCTCTCACATCGATGTTTCTCCCTCCCACTCTCTAAAAATCAATAAACATATCCTTCGGTGAGGATAAAAAACAAACTCATAAACCTTCTGTGCTTTAAACATCTTCCTATAATTATCAATCCCATAGCAAAGATTTAACTGATAGCAACAATACTGGTAGCTCAAAGAAGTTCAGCATTAGAAACATGATCATATTTTCAACTTTTTAAGAGATTCTTGCCAGCCACCTGCTTTTTATTATGCTTACCTAAGAAATTCTAATTTGTATGACTGCCTGAAGGAAATGGAGAATATAGGATAAGATGGTAAGATAAAAAATGTGGCAAAAAGGTGTCTTAAATATAGTGGGTATTCAAGTAGTTGTTTGTTGAATGAAAATTAGTTCCATTCAGAAAGATACTCACTGTTTGAAGCTATATCAATCAAAAGATTTTCTTCTGCTTCTGAGGGGAAAAAAGAATAGGATCAGGGAAGAGAAACCAGTCATTACAACCAAAAGAAGTATATGCCTAACTAAAAAACTGTTTCTCTCAATCACCACTTCTAGGTCCTAGAACACATATTTTTTAAAAACCCTTTGCTTTTTTTTGTTTAGCATTTTTTTAAAAAGGGATTTTAATAGTACTAGATGCTAAAGATTATGAGCAAGTCAACTAAAAGAAAAATGAATTGAACAAGTAACCAAATGGAACGCCTCAAAGCAAATCAAGGGAACATAACATGTTAATTCAAGTGAAGATGAGTTTAAATCCCCCCAACTATAACATACAAATTTCATATAATCAGCAAAATTTAGATATTTTTTATAAAAAGCCAAGGAAGCCGAAACCGGTTTGGCTCAGTGGGTAGAGCGTCGGCCTGCGGACTGAAGGGTCCCAGGTTCGATTCAGGTGAAGGGCATGTACCTGGGTTGCGGGCACATCCCCAGTGGGAGATGTGCAGGAGGCAGCTGATCGATGTTTCTCTCTCATCGATGTTTCTGGCTCTCTATCTCTCTCCCTTCCTCTCTGTAAAAAATCAATAAAATATATTTTTTAAAAAAAAGCCAAGGAAGTGACCCCAAAAGCCCAGAGGTTAATTACTTTTTACATTCAGATCTAGTCTCTGAAAATTTCCCAGTGATCCCATTACCTCCGCCCCTGCCCCATTGAGGAACAAAGAATACCCAAAGTTCTTTATCTTTAGGCTACAACTAGTACCCATCAGTCTAAGGCCTCCCACGCTCAAAAAGGAAGCATAAATTGAGGCAAAGTATAGGCTCCATGTTCAGAGTTCTCTTTACTCTCCATGGCTCTCCTGGAATTCCTTATTTACCTTTATTGTCTAGACCCAACCCATCTCTTCCTCTCTGACTTCCCTGGATTTGGCCTACGGCACCTGCCAGATCTTCCTGGTTACTGCACTCTGGGTACTGACTCCGTGGGATTAGCCTGGACTGACTGTGGCCAAATGGAGTAGTCTTGGCCTTTTCTAGTTCCTTCACAAGCCAGGATTGTATATTTGGCTCCATTATTCAGGCACAACAGAAGCAACTGGTAAGGAACTAAACTGTCTAATATTAGGAAATACTTAATACTCTCACTAGCATGATGAAGCAAGGGTCACAGGACATAGCTGTTTATATGTTTGCCATTGTTCTTCAGTAACTAATTCTTTAAAACCCAGTATTTATAGACTTTTTAAAACAGGGCACAGGTCAGGAAACAGAAAATATGAAAACTCGAAGTAACTTCCTTTTGTTATGGGGAACTACTGTGTGTGTGCACACATATTTTCCTAGATTTCAATCGAACACTGCTGTATTTCTTATTAAAAACAATACTAAGAGGGTAAAAGAGACTCTAGAAGTAGTACAAAAAGGTATAGACTTAATAGTATACTAATTTAAAGCCATTTTTGGCTTTTCTCCTTAAAGGACTGGGTATGCAACAAAGGGTGCTACACCATGAAAAGTGAAGTGACTATAGCAACTTGTGTGGTATGCAGGTGCCTTGTTCAATGTCTCTCTCACACAGGGCAAGCTGAATGGTTATGACTTCAATCTTCTCTACAATGTGGATACCATTCATTGCAGGTATTTTTCATTCTTAATACATGCTTCCTTAAAAAGTCCTATCCACTTAGTATTTCTACTTGCAAGAACAAATCCTAAGGAAATAAAAGATGTGCAGAAAGCTTTATGTACAGGGATACTTATCCTATTACTATTTATACTAGCAGAAAATAACCCAAATGTCAAACATAGGGAAATAATTACATTATGGGCCATTCATAAAATGGAATAGTATACAGCTATCAATGGCACGGGAAAGCACTCATAACATGATGGCATGCAGAACGAACAAAAAACTACATATAGTTTGAGTTCCACCAACTCTAAAAGTCACATGTGTAGAAAAAGGTGAAAATGTTAGGTGTTTATCTCTGAAGGATGAGAATTTGCTTTGCTTTATACATTTCTATTCTTTCAAAAATTTTATTAAATATTTTTGGCGCAAAAAAAAAGTTCAATGTAGTTTAAGAAAGAATCCATGCAAGGTAGAATTCAAGTTTTCCAAGGAACTACAGCTTAAACAGAATGCTTCTGTCAGATGAAGCCAAGGGACCCAGTGGAAACATAACGAGTTTGTTCTCTAGTAATCAGTTTCCTTTCCAGAGCAATGTGAGATGACACAAGCAACACCTCCTACACAAACCTCCCAATTTTTTGCTGCTCATTGTAGCAGATGAAACAACACATGTTCTGTTCTCTGTCCCTAAATTTGAGGGCAGGAAGCCAAATATATCCTCCCCAGAGCTGATTTTCTTATGATTCACCAACGTCAAGGTAAATTGCCAAATGTTTTAATTTCAAATGGTGAGGGGATAAAGTGCTGAATGTGTGTGAATCCCAGCAACCTTGATACTTTACAATGAGCAGTTTGTCACTTAAACTCAAGAATGTCACTTAAATCTACGTGAGTCTGTCAGCATAAAAGACTATCTACATAGGTAACAGACTAAATTTTTTTTAAATTTCTTTATTAAATTATTACATGTGTCCTTATCCCCACATTACCCTCCATTTCCTCCCCATTCATGCCCTCCCCCCCTGTTGAACAGACTACATTTTTAACCCCCAGTCTAGGAAGCGTGTGAATATGTATATGTATAAGTATATGTATATGTATATATATTCAATATAACCCTTCAGCTCTCATACAAAGCATTTATCATCTTCTCAATGGTAGATTCATGCAGAGTAGTATGTTTCATTTTACATACAGTGATAAATTTAAATATGTATGGTATTAAACAAGGCAATAACGACCATGGAAAAACATTATAAAACTAGCTAAGCAATTAAAGCTAGTACCTTGAACACATCTAAAGTGGCTATTTATAGGAATGATATCTTGAACATGCTGTTCCTTCCCGTGCAACTGGATTATTAACCTAGGAAACAGAAGAATGTATCAACGAATAGCTACTGAAAAATCCAAACATTTAACAACAAAATACAGTGCTGTGTTGTTACACAAATCTAGACTGTATTGATTAGGGTAGCTGTATCTTGTTCCCTGGATCTGAGCATCATGACAGCTAGATATTGCTCCAGGACTAAAAGGATTTAGTGGTGATCAATATCTCAATATCCACACTGTCCTACGCCATAAATAACATAGAATAGCCGATGTCCTAAGAACAGGTTACAATCTTAAGAGCATGAATTACAGCACGTATACCTTCAGCGTATGCATACCAGAGTGAAGAACTAATAGCAGCTAGGTGTGAACTCCCTAAGGGCAGGGACTGTAGCTTTCTACCATAGTATTTCTAGCACCTAGCAGTGTCTGGCACATAGCAATTGCTCAAGTTTGTTGAATGAATGTCTTAGAAATTTCATAAAATACCTCTATAATTATATCCCCATGGCTTTTACCAAAAAATGGTTCTATCTCTTCAAAGTATACAGGTTCATGGAGGACTAAGAGGAAGTGTCCAGCCAGCTGGATCACTCAAAATAACCCCAGTGGGCAACAAGGTAGCAGATATCACCAGACTGCCTTTATATCCCTTATGTTTTTTTCTCTGGTTTCCAAATTCATGCTGGTAGTTCTACGTAAACATGACTAAAAAACTTGCCTCGCCCCCCCGCCCCCGCCAGTATAAAATGTGTGAATTCTAAATTCCTATGCACACCTGAAATATTAATTTTCGTTCACTACTTATCCGTTGTGGCCCAGAATCAAGGT